CCGACCGCTGCCGCCCAACAAGCTCCCCCCGCCGCGGGGGCCCCGCGCTGCCCGCGCCACCCGGGCACGGTGTGCGTGCGCCTCTGTGCGCGCGCGCGCGTGTGTATGTGCGTGTGCGCGCGGGGGTTGCGCGTGTGACTCGGTCGGAGGGGGTTGCGCGTGTGCGCGTTGTGTGTGACCCGATCCAGGGGCGCGCGCGGGACCGGGGCCCCGGGGCCGCCTCCCTCGCTCGAGCGCGTTTCAAACGGGACGTGTCCCCCCGGGGCCCGCGAGCGCTGCGGGGCCTCGCGCCTGTGACGCCCCGGCCCTGCTGGCCGGCGAGTGGGCAGCGGGCACCGAGTGCCCTTGTCGCTCGCTGAGGGTGTGACAGCCCTCGGGTTGCGGGAGGAGGGGCGCGTCCTTCCAGGCCAGCGTGTTCGTGTGCGTGTGCGTGTGCCTGCCCCGCGCGCTGCGCTGCGCTCTCCGCCCGTGTGTGTCGCGCTCCAGCTGTGTGGGTGACTCGCTCCAGGGCGCGCGTGTCACTCCGCGTGTAGGGCTGTGCCCACGGGCGAATGGGCCTGTCCTTCACTCCAGTGTGTTACTCACTCCAGCCTGCCTGCGTGTCTGGCACTCAAATGCAGACATTCATGTTCATGTCACTCTCTTGGGTGTCCGTGTCCCTTTCTCCCATGTACAGTTTGAGCCAGAATGCGTGACAAACGCAGCGCCTGGTGTCGTGCCCACCCAGCCTAGAATGAGTCACACAGATGCACTCTGCAGTCCCGTACAACCTGGAGTGAGAGACATGCGCACACCTGTGAGACACTGTTCCACCTATGAGGCATCTAAGTGGACTTAAATACCCAAGTGCAATCTTTTTCCACCCTGCTGAAGTTCCGATAAAGCTGTTAATGCAAAAGGTGGGTGGGACCTCCTCCTCGCTGCTTTTTCTTGAGGGAGCCTTATGGGTCAGCTGATAGTGTGCTGTAAAAGTAGCTGCACTAATGGATTTTGAGGACCCAAGAACCATAGAAGATGCTTAAGAACCTAAGTCCACTTAAATGCCTAATAGGTGGAATAGAATCTGACCTCTTCTGTCTTTGCGTGTGTGTCACTTACATACTTGTATGTCATTCATTCTAATGTGTTTTTGTGTGCATGCCTCACTCTAGGGCATGTGTATGTATGCATGCATTTGTCATTCACTCTGGTTTGTGTGTGTTATTTCTGTGTGGACCAGTCAAAACTGGGCATGTGTGTGCACACATGACTAACCCTCCAGTGTTTGTGTGCTTATGTGTATCACTCATTCAACAGTGTGTGTTTGTGTGTGTGTGTGTGTGTGTGTGTGTGTGTGTGTGTGTGAGAGAGAGAGAGAGAAAGAGAGAGAGACTCCGGAATGTACATATTGTGCTTGTCATTCTCTGGGGAGAGCTCATACATCTGATTACTCAACAGTTGTACAATGTCAATGACACCTAGGTCTTCATGAACTCCAGCCTGCTGCCTCTAATGATGCAGGGAATACTTGCCAGGGCACTCACTACCAGTGTAAAGTTCATAGATGCTAGGGTCAGAAGGAACCCCAACAGATCATCGAGTCCAACCCCCTGCCTAGGCAGGAAAGAGTTCTGGGATCAGATGACCCCAGCCAGATGCCTGTCCAGACTTCTCTTAAAGACCCCCAAGGTAGGGGAGAGGACCATCTCCCTTGGAAGTCCATTCCAAATTTTGGCCACCCTTACTGTGAAGAAGTTCTTTTGATGTCCAGCCTAAATCTGCTCTCTGTCAGTTTGTGACCACTGTTCCTTGTTACCCCAAGAGGTGCCCTGGTGAACACAGCATCTCCAATTCCTTGCTGCCCCCACTAATGAATTTGTAGGTGGCCACAAAATCACCTCTCAGCCTTCTCTTGCAGAGGCTGAAGAGATCCAGGTCCCTCAGTCTCTCCTCATAGGGCTTGGCCTGCAGACCCTTAACCATACGAGTGGCCCTCCTCTGGACCCTCTCAAATGTATCAACATCCTTCTTAAAGTACAGCGCCCAAAACTGGATGCAGTACTCCAACTGTGGTCTGACCAATGCCGAAAGTATCCCCCCCTTGGAACCCTTCACCTGGCATCCACTAATACATGATAAAGTGCGGTTAGCTTTGCTGATGATTTTGAGTGAGTCACCCTGGTGACTCATGTTCATCCTGGAGTTCACTATGACTCTGAGATCCCTTCCCACTTCTGTGCTGCTGAGAGGGTCATTCCCCAGCCAGTAAGTGTGCTGGATATTTTTACACCCTAAGTGTACCACTCTGTCCTTGTTGAACTGCATCCTATTATGTACTGCCCAGTTTTCCAACCTGCCCAGGTCCACCTGCAATCATTCCCTACCCTCCGGAGTGTTCACTTCACCCCACAATTTAGTATCATCCACAAACTTGGACAGAGTACACTTCACACCCACATCCAAGTCACTGATGAAGACATTGAAGAGTACAGGTCCAAGGACTGGCCCTGTGGGACCCCACTGCCCACATTCTTCTGGGTCAATACTGACCCATCCACTACCACTCTCTGGGTGCGACCTCCAAGCCAATTTGCCACCCATCCGACTGTGTAATCATCTAAGTCACAGTCTCTTAATTTATTTATGAGAATGGGATGAGATACTGTATCAAAGGCCTTCCTACAATTCAAGTAAATGACATCCACCTCTACTCCTGTGTCTAAGTGTTTTGTGACCTGGTCATAAAAAGAAGCAAGATTAGTCAGGCATGAGCTACCTGCTATGAATCCATGCTGGTTGTCCTGCTGCATTATTTTTCCTGCTGGACTCCCATAGATATAATCCTTAATAATTTTTTCAAAGACATTTCCAAGGATAGAGGTGAAACTAACTGGCCAATAATTACTCGGATCCTCCCCTTCTTGAAAATAGGGACCACACTGGCCCTTTTCCAGTCCTCCGGGACCTGACTTGAGTTCCATGAGTGCTCAAACAGCCATGACAGTGGTTCTGCTATGACACTGGCCAATTCCTTCAGTACCCTTGGATGAAACTCACCCAGGCCTGCTGACTTAAACACTTCCAGTCCATCCAAGTGACTCTGCACCAAGTCAGCATCAACAGTTGGTGGGCTGGTGTCCCTCTGACGCCCATCTAAGAACCCATTAGGAGATTTGTTTTGACCCTCGTTCAGGAACACCTAGGCAAAAAATCATTGAATACTCATTTTTGTCCCCCCTGTCTGTCACTAACTGTTCCTGCTTATTCAGTAGGGGTCCTATGCTGCCCTGTGCCTTCCTTTTACTCCCTATGTTGGAAGGTGCGACTGTCCACCTACTGCTGCTTAGGGATCTGACCTATCCACTAAAGGCTATTCAATGAAGGCCTACACTGGACTTCTGGATGGCAGGAAGGAGATCTTTAACTACCATCTGAGCATTTGATTGTGGAGTGCATCTTTGGGCAACTCAAAGTATGATGGAGGGCACTTGGGGTATGCCCAGCCCTAAGTGAGTGATTGCCTGGCCTTGATCATTTTACGCTGCAAGCTGCATAACATCTGTGAGGTCATAGGCAAGACTTCCCTAGAGGCATAGCTGGTAGAAGTCCAGAGGCTCACCAACCTTTACCATGTCTCAGAGATTTCCACAACCATTAGGAAGCTGTCCTCAAGGAACCTCTGGTGAACTACATCTACTGATGCTGGGCCAGAGGAAGGAGGAGGGCACTGCTTTGTAAAGTTCAAGTCAGTTCATTGATAATTTGATCATTAGAAGAAAGCTCTATATTAAGTATTACAACCATACAAATGCTTCCTGCTGTGTTGTCGAAAATGGGACCAGGGTGTATCAGAGATGACAAGGGAGGAGACATCCTTAAAGTGACCAGCACATGTCTAGGCTGATCATATCCCTGTAGATAGCAAAGGGTCCTTGGAAGTTTCATAGATTTCAGAGACATCAGGGCTGGAAGGGATCTTGGGAGATCATTGAGTCCAGTCCCCTGCCCCAAAGCCAGGAAGTCAGCTAGGGTCAGAGGATCCCAGCAAGATAAATGTTGAAACACTTCTTAAAGTAGTCCAGAGTAGGTGCTTGCACCACCTCTGGAGGGAACTTATTTCAGGCCTTGTGGGCTTGGACAGTAAAGAAGTTTTTCCTTATGTCCAGCCTAAACTGGTCTTGGAGGAGTTTATGACCATTGGCTCCTGTCATCGCTTGGAGCGCTCTGGTGAACAGATGTTCCCCCAGATCCTGATGCACACCCATGATATGGGTTATAGGCTGTGTAGCAGGGCACTAAGGTGCCTGCTACTCTAGGAGTAGAGGTAAGAACCCAGGTGCAGGTTGCTGGGACAGCTAGGCAATGAGGGGGCTAGTGGCCCACACCTGCTAGAGGTCAGCTGACCAGAAGGGGCAGGGCCTGGCCCACATATAAACACCAGGGCTGAAGCCAGGAGGGTAGTTCTCTGCTGGTAGCCAAGGGGGAA